CCGGTCTGTATGTGGGATCCAAACCCTCGGCGGGAGCGCCGCCACACTTCCCAAGCGGCGCACTGTAGCAGTGCGCCACCGGGCCGGCCCCTCCATGAACTTTTTCAAATACCCTCATATTTTCTATCTGTTATGGATTGAGAAAAGCAGGTCACTAGAACTATATGTAAGACCAAAGCCATAGGCTTTAGCACAAGGCTTTGAGACAGATATTTCAGCTATTTGAGCAGTTTCCAGTTGCTTCTAGATAGATGGTTTCAATTCACACAGTTGAGGTTTCTGGAAATCTGAACCAACCTGGACACAAAATTTGACTCCTCTGGACCAACTTGAGCCAACTGAATTCTGGGGTCCTTGGTTTCCTTATCTGGAAATGGGTACCAATGTCTATATTTCCAGAGTGGTCATGAGGTTTCACAGTGATAAAGGACCCAAAGAGCTAGCCCCCTGCCCGGCACACACTCAGAGAAGGAAGCTGTGATTAGCGTCTGGGCTAAGTCTGGGAATGGCTTATGACCCTGGCAGCTGTCCTCCCCAAGGCTCTCCGAGGAGCCGCTCTGTCCACCGAACACCAGGCAGGTGGCCTGGCAGCAAATACAGCTCCCAAGGCATCTCGTTATTATTGGTCCTCAAATAGAAGTTAATAAATAGACCCGCACAGTAAGCTTGAAGAATGAACCCAAGAATATCTCAGAAAAATCACAGCTTCAACATGTCATGATGAAGCCATAACAACAAACAGAGCAGCTCTGGCCTGCAGACCAGATATTCTGATTTAGAAGGAAAAGAAGGAGAAGGCGGCCACGAAGCTTAATGATCCTGCTGTTTGATTAGGCAGAAACTTTACAAGAACCTATGCAGAGGCGGTAATTAGGCCTGCGGCTTGTGAAGGGAAATGGTGGAGATCACAAAATGCCAAAGAGAAGCGAAGCATCCATTCAGGAGGTGGGGTCGGGGTGAGCTGCACAGATTCTTGGGTCGAACAGCCAAAAGAATTCAGTTTCATCACACATGGGCACCCGGTACAGAAAGCAATACCTTTGCATTCTGTTGTAGTAGCAGGAGAATTTTAGCATAACCATAGGAACGGATGAGTCCCTAAGGGGAGAACGTTCATTAAAAATGTTAAGCCCGTATTTACTTGTTCATAAACTCTCCCTCCTACATGTATTTGTGTGATGCTCTTGTATTCAGAAAGCCCTTACAGCCATTCTCAAACTCTAAATACAGGTGTCCTGGGAGAGGGAGGCAGGTGTGGTCACTTCTGCAGGTGGGGAAATGGAGTCCCAGGGGAGCAAATGACTGGTCCATGGTACCCAACCCTCCCCAATCAATGAACTTATTACAATGTTTTCATTGCTGTTGTTTTGGTGGGGGTGGTCATGTGGGGATTTTGCTGCAGCAAATATTGCTTGAAACGGTAATCTCTGGAATGTCTCTTTGCAGGCCAGGGTTCTAACAACACATATTCACTGCAATGGAGTCTGACTTGCAGTGACAACTATTTGATCTTCAACTATCACCTGTCGGTAGAGAAGAATGTCCCCCTGCCATCATAATCTCTGACATCGTCTTGGCTCATCTCCTCATTCCTTCCCACACACACCCCCGCACTGACTCCCCAGGGCTGAGCGGCCCCTTCCCCACCCTGTCCTTGCCTCCAGCAGTGTGACCGTGATCATGAACCAGGGCGGGGGGCAGCAGGTGTAGCTGTCGTAGTACCACTTGCGGTCAATCTCCCGGGGCAGGGTTTCATAGGCCACGTGGCGGATCAGTCGCTGCGAGAGGCTCAGCCCCTTCTCCTCCAGCAGGGCCTTGCTGCTCAGCCTGCGGTTGCCCTGCAGGATGGCCTGGCGGAAGCTGTTGGACCTCTTGTTGCTCATCTGCGCAGGAAACCGGGTGGGGACAGGTGAGAGCTGGGGCCTCAGGGGAGCCCCCCACCCACTTCTCAGGCAGCATATTGTTAGACCAGGCCTGACCCCTCATTTCCCTTCCTTCTAGAATAGTTAATAAGAAGCAACATTCATTGAGCTCTTATGTGTCAGGAGTTATCCTAAGCACGTCACATGTTCTGGTTTATTTGATACTGACAACTAGTCTACCTGTTAGATAAGGACAGTGAATAGTCCCATTTTACAGGATTAGGAAACTGAGGCACGGAAGGTTTTAGGAACCATGTTTAAGCCCCACAATGTTCCAGCATCTGTACATGTACTCACAATACCTTCCTTTCATCCACTCATGCACCATCCATCCATCACAACTTACTGAGCAACTGCTGAGTGTCACCCACATTACCAGGCACAGGGCATATGGTGGCACTCAGGACAAATAAGTAACCAGCAATCACTGTTCAGAGTGATGGCTACTGTGGGAGCACACAAGAGGGAGCCCAAACTGGTCCCGAGGTGGCCAGGGAGGGCTTCCCGGAGGAGGTGATGTCTGAGTGAGAACCAGAGGAAGAGCAGGAGGTAGCACCCTCAGACGCACTAGCTTGGGAAGAGGAAGGTGGGCAGCCAGGGGTGAGATAGGTTTGTAGAGAGGCCCACAGAACCAGAACCTAAAGCTGTGTCTGTGGAAGGTCACCAGCCCTGAGTGCCTTCATAGGACCTGTAATGCCTAGTGAGCCCAGGGACTGGTTGTAGAGCCCCCTAAGGACTGGGCCTGCCCTCAGTGGCCTAAGTCTGCTCTGACACATCCTCAGTAGACCCCTGGCTGCCTCGCTCAGCAGTCAGCCTGACTCCCAGGGACCAGAAGTGGCCCTGCTGACTTCCCACCTCCCAAGGCCTCCATCACCTCCCACCTGTCCTCCTTGGTGACATTCTAGACCCTGCTTATGGTGGAGAAGTCCCAGAGACATAGTTCTCCCAACCCCAGACCCCAGCTGTTCCATGGCTGCTGGTGTGGGGATTATCAATGCATTCCTGGGATGATGGGCCCAACAGTGGACATCAGGCTAAATCTGAAGGCAGAAGCCCAGACAGGCTGGTGAGGAGAACCAGGCCAGCCAAAGCTCAGGGTTGGAGCCCCCATCAGAGGGAAGATCACCGGGGTGGATCTGGGTTCTGATGAGGCCAGGAGGTGTGAGCCTTCATCTGCAGTGCCCCGCTTCATTCCCAAGTTCTGCTGTCTCTCACTCTCCAAAGCTTAGAGCATGCCCCCTCCAGCAGGCCTTCCCAGATGAACTCCTTCCAGCCACTCCCTATCCTCATCCCCTCCATGCCTACAAAGCTTGGATCTGGGTCTTCTCAGTGGCTCGGGAGTCCTGTAAATGTAGGCAAGGGTCAGGGTTCTCATGTGCACTGTGAGCCCAAGAGAGGACCATGTTATCAACTATTCAGTAGCCACTCTTACCATTCTCTCTCCCAGCACCCAAGCGTGCACATGCACAGCGGCATGCACGGCACACACACACACATTCTCATGACCAACAGGCCCTGAAGACCCATGGCGGGCCAGCTCAGTACAAGAAAAAGAAAATCTGTGCACACACACATACCCACCATTCACTGCGCCCTGGACCTACCCAGAGCTGTGCTGGGGACAGCTGTAATCAGGGCCCTGGGCCTCATGGAGCTTACACAGGGAGACAAAAGTGTAAACAGCAGCAAAAGAGGGTGTCATCTTAGTTATCTGGTGCACACTATTACTCTCAAGTTATAAATATATGGTGACTGAAGCTTGGAGAAGGTAAGTAATTACCCCAAGGACCTACAGTTAGTAAATCACAGGGTCAGGAGTCAAGTCCAGATCTGCCTGACTCCAGAGTCTATGCTAGCCCATGTGGAACCTGTGGGCCAACTAGATAAGGGAGCCTCTTCTTCCAGGTGGATGCACCTATGCCAGGCCTCAGTGAACAAAGTCCAGGCCAGATTTCAGTCCCCACTCATCCCTCAGCCAGGCACCCTGATAAAGTACACAACCCGCACACCCATATGTGACAACCCTGGCTGCTCAGCTGTAATGCAATGTGGTTTGTGCTATGAAGAGACTACAGAAAAGCACTGTGGGGGCTCTGGTAAAGCTGATTCATTCTGCCTGGGCTGGGGCAGGTAAGCCTCATCCTCTGCCTACAAAAGACGGAAAGGAGTTTACCTGGTAAAAGAACCTGGGACCAGAAGCAGCCCTGCTGACTTTATTGAGACAATAAAAACTTTCAAATATTTTATCTTATTTGATCCTTGCAACAAGGCTTCCTTTCACAAATGAGGAAACACAAGCTCAGAGGATCTTTCCCAGTGAGTGGCAATGGTAGAGGCAGGACCGAGACCCAGGTCCATCTGACTCCAGGCCCTGAGCTCTCTGCTCTGCCCACAGCTTCCTCCTTCATCTGGGCTCCAGAGCATCCCTGCTCACATGGTCCAGGCTATGACTGGCTGCTCCAGCTCAGAACTTGAACAGAGAGATCCCAACAGTAACAAGTAACTTCCTGTTATGAGTTCACACTGACCCTGTTGGAGAGAACAGCCCGCTGGCCTGGCATGCCCTCACTCTGCCCGAAACTGAACAAGGCATCTTGCAGCGAGCATGCTGGCACTGAGGCTAGGGATGAGCCTGTGCAGGCTCAAACCCGTGGCCTGGTCTTTGGTGGCACTGCTGGGCTCCAAGTCACAGGGCTCACCTCCACTGCCCAAAACACAACTCCTGACTGTCCCACCTCCCCCACTCAGCTCAGCTCTGTCTCCCTCCCTCCAGGAGGCCAGCTCCTTGGGTCCCCTCTCCACCCCTAAAGCCCTGCAGTAGCTCCCTACAATCACGCTAGCCCCTGGGCCAAGGCCGGCCCACAGCCAAGAGGCTGTTGAAACAACTCCACGGTCCCGGCATCTGCATCACAGGGCTCATGTGGCACGATGACAGGTGCAAGTGATACTGGTCCCCCTATCGCTGATGCCTTATAATCCTAAGAACCTGCGGAACTTCACACAAGTCATTGCCCCCTCGCCCCTCCAGGGTGACATAAGAGAGGTGACCATCTCCATTTCACCAACAGGGAACTGAGTGAAGTCTTGCAGTCTTGTATTCAACCCGCTAGTTCATGCAGCTTCTACTGATGTCCCATCCATCCTGTGGTCAGTAAAATACTGCCTGCTTATGCCCACCAAATCCCATTCCAATCCCGCCACAGTGGTCCCCCAAATAGCACAGCATTAACTCCCAGTGAAAAGTCCCCACTCCAAGAAACCAGACCACTGGGCAGGAGTCATGGGCTTCCCGTCTCCAGCCCAGAACAACCAGGACATCTGCCAGCAGGTCTGCTGAGCCCTGGTCTCTACCAGGGGCTGCACTGCTCCTAGAGAGTGAGGCCTGACCCTCCCAGCATCCACTCCCGGCTCCTACTCCCAGCCCTTCATCCTGGTGAAACTGACCCCACTCTCAGCTGCAGGGGTGGGGCACTGGTTGGTCTGAGTCAATCCACATATCCCAGTGACCCAGTGACCCAGTGTAGGCCAACAGGAGGGAGGAAATCCCAGGGTTTGTGCAGGAGCTACCACAACAAGAGCCTCTCTCTCTCTCTCCCCCCCCAACCCCCTTCATTGTGTGGTCTGAGGGTGTGAGGGCTGGAACAACTGCAGCCACTTTGCTGCCACAATGGGAGGTCTGGAACTGGCAGGAGCTGCTCTGAAGATGCGGTGGCTAACACTGCAGAAGGCAGAACCGAGAGACAAGACAAAGAGAAACCTGGTCTTTAGTGGCATCCTTTCATCTGCTGAGGCCTGGACTTTTTCAGTGTCCTGGGCCAACAGATCCCTTTAATTGTCTGAATCCCTTCAATGTGTTTAAGCCACAACCCCCAAACAGGCCCCTCCTAGTGGTAAGGGCCCCAGAGAGCTCACCAGGTTGACAAAATCCTGGTAACAGATCTGCCCATCCGCGTGGCTGTCTGCAAGAGCCAGGAGCACCTCCCTTTTGTGTGGGTCCAGCTTGGAACTGTGGCTCTCCAGGAGGCTCCGGAACTTGCCTGTGCTGATGTAGCCCGTGTTCCCAGGGTCAAACTGAGGGAGAAGCACAGACAGCCGCAGGGTCAGCAGGGCACCATCCCCTCTCAGCACTGGTTTGGGCACCACCACCACTCACTGGCTCTTGTGCCCAGCCCTCTGCAAAGAGAGGCCCGGGCGTTGGCTGGGATGTTTCCAAGGCCCCCCGGGGAAACATCCAAATTGGGCACAGACAACTGCTTAAAATCCTAGAGGGCCCTGCAGACCCTCAGGATCACCCAATCCAACTGTCTTGTGTGGATCAGGAAACTGAGGCTCGGAGCTTCAGTCGCCTCCCCTCAGCCCTTACTCTTGAGTGCAAAGAAGAAAGCAGGGATGAAAGGCCAGGAGTGGAGGAAGATGAGGAACTGCTGGGGCCTGGGACAGGGGAAAGGACGGCTGGAGGAGGAAGTTTCAGCAGAAGACCTTGCGGGGTGACAGGCAAGGAGGAAGGGGCTGGGCCAGAGGGATGCCAGTGGGGATGCCTGAGGGCCCAGGAGCAGGAAGCGGCCCTTGCACGTCCTCCTGCACCTGCCCCCACACCCACCACGCAGGACCACAGGGGCCCCCAGAGACCCTTGGCTCCGTTTTTGTTTGGTGTGTGTGTGTGCACGCATGTGCATGCTTCATGCTCTTTTTCCTCTGCAGCTTTGCACACCTGGGTCTTTCCATCTAGGATTCCCTTCCCTCCCTGCCTCCCTGAGAGATTCTAACTCACCCTTCCTGACTACACAGATGTCCCCTTTCCAGAAGGCTCCCTCCAGACATGGCCTGTTCTCACTGCTTCCCCTGCACTTTGATCAGACCTCAGGGCCTCTAGCCCACACTGATCTCTAACTGTCCACGTTTGCCTTCTCACTGGACTGTGGCTCCTCAAGGTTGTTATCCTGGAACTTAGCACAGAGCCTGGCATTATCAGCACTCAATAAAGATTTGCTGGATGAATAAATGGTGGATGTTCACATGAATAGCCAGGCACTAATTTTCCACAAAAAGCCTCATCAGTTCAGCTAGAAAAGGGAGGATCTTATTCCTGTCTCCCAGAGGCCTTACCCTCAGTCCCTCTTTCCACACAAAGCCAAGCCAAAGCCCACCTGAAGCCCACCCTGCTAGAGAAGAACATTCACCATGTCTCATGGGTGCCAAGAGCTTTCCTGTTCACAAGGAGCTTCCCCACGCAAGACTCCCCTGCATCCTGGGTTTTAAAAGCAGACACTGGGGATGTATGTGTGTGTGTGACAAGAGAGTCAGAAGGCCAAACCCACATTTCCCCTGTTCTAGAAAAGGTCAATGAAGACTATTTAAGGAAAGTGGATTGTGTACAGTGTTTCTAAGACTGGCCAAGAGCAACAGTCAGGAGTCCCAGCCACAGCCTCTTCCAATTCTCCCCAGAATTCCACCGGGGAGGACATCTCTAAGGAGGCCTATTTTAAAATCCACATATCCCCTTACCCTCAACCCCAAATGCCAGGTTTTAGGTATGACACCGACGTGGTTCACACCATCAACTATTTCAGAAACTCACCTACCCTTGCTCCCTGAACTTTAAGAATAAAAACGCCTAATATTTGCTGTGTGTTTTTATGGGGTCAAACACTGTTCTAAGAGCTTTCTGTATGTAACTTCTTTGACTCTCTACAACAACCTTAGATAACAGATCCTGTTATTATCGCCAGATTCCAGATGAGGAAATAGAGGCACAGAAAAGTTAGCACCAAGAGGTTAAGTGACTTGCCTGGCAGGTGGCAAGCCAGGTTCCACAGCCAGGCAGCTCAGCGCTGCCTCTAAACCTAGCTGGCTGTCCCTGATCGTCAGCCTCCAGGGGCTGCTCTGCTGCTCAGAAGCAGAATGTAAGAACCAAAGAGGTGGTTCTTTGGTTCAGCCAAGGCAGCGGTCCAGGAGTCTCACAGTCCTACCCTAAACAGGTATTTTTAAAGCAGGAAAGAGCCCCAAACAGCAACAGTTCTGACTTCCTTATTGTTCAGACAGGGAAAGAGGCAAAGGCAACCAGGGAGGGGCTCCTTCCTTGGTGCCTGGGACCCCTCCCATCCCCACAAGCCACCTGTGCCAACCCCAACCCCATCCTGGCTCTGCCTGGTCTCACATGGCCCTCATATGCTGGGTGGGCAGATGGGGGTAGGGGTGGGGGTTGAGAAGCAACTGTGAGTCCTGGGAAGATCCCAGTGGGCACTGCAGGAGGGCGGGGGTCTACCGCATAGCATGGAGTCTTTCCTGCCCTGGCTCGGGGGAGGAAGCCCAATGGCTTTGTACGCCCTGGGAGCAGGGACACCAATCCCCTCCCAGGGGCTGCCTCACAGGCTTGGGAGGGCCATGGGTTGGGGGTGGTGGTGGAGGGGCTGGGATCAGGCTCCAGACAAAGAACCACCTGCTCTCCTCCTCTCCCTCCCCCTCCAGGGCTCCCTGCTGTTGTCCTAGTGACAGGGGCTGCCCTGTGGCTCCGGAGCCCCCACCCCCACCATGGCCTGCCCGCCCAGCCCTAAGCACACTAACAGGCTCCAGACTGCAGAGAACGAGCTGGAATCAGGCCGAGCCTCTGTTCTCTGCCAAAACTCTACCTTTCATGCCAGGGCCAGACAGGCCAGACAATGGGGGGTCACTGCTACCCTAATAATGAGGCCTCAGGGACGCAGGAGGATGGCTATGACTGGAGGGGCGGGGGAGGCAGGATGGGGCCGGCTGCCTGGGCTCCACTAATGCAGAAGGACACTTGTGACACACCCGCCCCCCAACCTCTCCATGACACCTGGGGAGGCTAACAGTGGGGGAGGGGTGTAGGGAAGTGGGGGACAGAGAGAGGGAAAGAGGGAGACAAAGGGAGAAAGAGACAGAGAGAGAGAGGATGTGTGCCCAGAAGGCAGGAGATGGTAGGTGCCATGGCCCCAGGGGCAGCTGAGAGCTCTACAGGAAGCTGCGCCCGCACTCAGGGCCAACAAGGAACAAGGCACATCCCACTCTGGCCTCGGCCCTAACTGTCTGTGCAGTTTAGGGCAAACAGCTTGAGCCATGAGAGCCTCATCACCAAAGGGCCAGATTCCTCTGATTGTGGTGGGTGAAACAAACACAGGGCCTGGGGGCTCTGCAACCAGCCTCACTGCCTCATTCAGGTGGAGGCTGGGGGAGCTCGGGTGGGAGGCATGGCCGGCCCTCTGCACACACACCTGCGCTCTACAGCCTTCTCCATGGCCTGCTAAGGGGGATGAGGTCACACTGGCACTGTGGTTTGGAGCTTTCAGGGAAAGAGTCCCGAAACACACTTTCCTTGTTAATAATGTGCCCAAGGTTCTGCCGCTCCCCCTCCCCTAGGCACTCTGCGCCCTGGACTGGCACCCGTCGGCAGTGGGGCACTCTAGGGATGAGTGTGAGCTGGGTGGGTTCAAGGCAGCCCGACTGGGGCTGGTCTGGGGGTGGTCGGGCAGCCAGAGGAAGGCAGGCTGTGAATGGGCCAGGAGCCGGGAACCAGGAGCATCCTGGAAGCTGCCTTCTGATGAGGGCGCAGCACTGCGGAGGGAGGGGCGGCCACATCCACATTCAGCCTGCATGGAAGCTGCTGAGGCAGAGGGAGGAAGAAGGCTCCCGCCCACCTGCCTTGGCCTGGAAAAGAGCATCCAGAGGCTCCCAGGGGACTTTTAATCCCACCAGTACCCAGCCCTCAGGCCCCTAATCCTCTAGGTCGCCCAGTTCCCCCAGCCTGAGGCCTCACACATGCTCTGACATCTCCCGTGTCCCACCGTGGACCCCTTCCTGGGCACTTAGCCTGCCTAGGCTGGAGAAATAACCCACAAAATCCTCTCTGCATTGTTGCCGTCTGGGGCTCCTTCCCCCTCCCTGGGGCAAGGGGTGGGAGAGAGTTCCGGAAGGAGCCCCATCCCCAGCTGCTGTGCCCTCTTGGGCAGATTATTCAAGCACACTGCCTCAGTTTCTCCATCAACCAAGTGGTAAGAACTCTCCCTTCTCAGGGACATGTAAGGGAGCCCATACTCACACCTGTGCAGATACGGGTGGCCACGTGCGAAGCGGGGACAGGGAAAGAGACATCCACAGCCCCCACAGCCCATGGGGGCAGCTGGCCATCGATTCTGAATCCTTGTGCAGTCAAGGGCTTCATGGGAAATTTGGTATCAGGATGAGGCATCTCTGCATAGGGGTGAGGTAGGGCTGGCACCATTCATGTCTGTGCTGTCAGAGGGACCTGGTGATACTGGGGAGTGGGCAGCAGGACAGAGAATCGTAAATCATGGTCCAGGAAAGCTGGACAAAACCTCAGTGGTTTCCAAAGTGTGCTGCTGAGTTACAGGGACTCTGGGGCCTCCAAGGCCCAGAGGTGTTGCTGAGGGGATTACTGAGAAGCCCAGCCCTCCTTAGGAAAACCAGCTCCACTCTGAGCTGGTTTACATATTAGCCTTCTGCCTACTTCCCAGTTCAACACCATCACAATCAGGGCTAACACGCGTGGCACGTCTGCTGTGTATCAGGCACTGCCCCAGGTCACCACATATCCTGGTTTGCTTGGGACAGTCCTGGTATATACCTGTTGTCCTCGCATGATTATTAACAGTGCCCCCTTCACTCCCAAAGTGTCCCAACCTGGGTGACAAATTGCATGGCACCCCCTATTTAGAGCTTACAACAACCCTATGAGGTAGATACAATCATCAGCTCCATTTTACCCAGAGGGATGGGGAGAGGGACAGAGGCACCGAGAGCCGAGTTGCCCAAGTTTGAATGGCTGGTAACGGGTGCAGATGGATTCACACCTAGGCAGAGGGGCTCAGAGCCTGTAGTCTCTCCCACCACTGGGATGCTGTGGCCAAAAAGAGTTTGACAGACCCCAGTCTAATCCTCTCCAGTCCATCTAACAGTCACTAAGGATCAGCTGAGGCCCAGGCACCATGCTCATTTTATGTATGGGGAAGTGGGTGCAGAGGGCACAGGCAGCAAAACGAATGGGTAGAGGTCAGAGAGCGAGCTAGTGGTCGAGCCGGGAATAGTCCAGGCTT